TCTGTGAAGATTTTTTTCATACTTATGTTAAACAAATGAAAGAAATACTTATATATGTAAATGTAAAAGACCGCAATTGAAGAATATCTTAAGTTCTTAAATTTCAGTCTTTCAAATACTTTTTGTTTATGTATTTATTTTAAAAATCAAATTTACATTAAGAATATGTAAAAGAAACATTCTGTATAATATTAAAATGAATAAAATATAATTAAATTTAAATCAAATAATTTGTTTAAATTATTTCTACTTTATAAAACCAATCCCTAAAATAATCCAAACATGTGAAGAGAAAAAAAAACAGACTCGTTCAAATTGCAGGTAAGTTTTATTTTCTTGTTAGCAATTATTTAACATAAATACATGTTTATAACCAGGTCTGATAAGAAAGCGTGGTGGCTCAGTGCTAAAGTACTTGGCTACCAATTCGCAGATCGTGGGATCGAATCCCACCCGGTTCAAAAATTAAAAATTTATTTTATTTTAATTTTTAACTTTTATTTTCATTTTAGCAATTATTTAACATAAATATATGTTTTTAAGCAGTTTTAATAAGCAAGTACGATAGTCCAGCGCTAGAGTGTTTGGCTATCAACACATAGGTCATAGGATCGATTCTTCTCGGTCCAGAAAATAAAATTTTATTTTATTTTAATTTTTAAGCGTGTGACGTCATGATGACGTAGTAATGCCGATCTGTTTGGCCACCAACTCGTGGTCCCTATGTTACTTATAATTATTTTCTGTATAGTAAGATTTTTATTATTTTTCTTTTTTAAAATATAAATATTAAAAAAAAAAAAAAAAAAAAAACCCCGCGTGCCACTTCCTCGCACATCATGTTCTCCTGTTAAAAATCTTGATTTTCGAGAAAATTTGGAAATTTTGTCGAAAAATTTATTTTGTAACAGGATCACATGATGTGCAAGGAAGTGGCACGATTTCGTCGATTCCTGGAAATGAGGTTTTTCGAAAATTCGGAAATTCTTGGAAATGAGGTCAATGAGGTCGAAAATTCTCGGAAATTGACCTCATTTCCAAGAATCGCCGAAATCTCGTGCCACTTTCTTGCACATCATGTTCTCTTGTTACAAAATAAATTTTTCGACAAAATTTCCAAATTTTCTCGCAAGAATCGAGATTTGTAATAGGATCACATGATGTGCGAGGAGGTGGCACGCGCTATCTTTTTTTATGTGTTTTGAATTGAACTTTTAGGTGTTTTAAAAATTTTTATTTTTTTTTAGCAAAAAAAGAAATAAATATTTCCGTAATAAAAATTATAAGATAATTATTCTAAGGGGGTGGCAAAACTATTTTTCGTTGCCAAACCCTTCTCTTTGTACACTTATAATGTACAAATAATAATAGGAGGGTGGCTACGAGCATCGTGGCCAAACCACCCTTTTTATTATTTTCACCCTTTTAGTTAACGTCATTATGACGTCACGTCGCCGAAAATTTAATTAAATTAAAAATAAAATCCTGTTTTCTGGGACCGAAGAGGAGTCGATCTTACGATCTATGGGTTTATAGCCGAACACTCTAGCGTTAAGCTATTATACTTGCTTATTAAAATTGTTTAAAAACATATATTTATGTTAAATAATTGCTAATAAGAAAATAAAGTTAAAAATTAAAATAAAATAAATTTTTAATTTTTGGACCGGGAGGATTCGATCCCACGAACTGCGAATTGGTAGCCGAGTACTTTAGCACTGAGCCACCACGCTTTCTTATCAGACCTAGTTATAAACATGTATTTATGTTAAATAATTGCTAACAAGAAAATAAAACTTACCTGCAATTTGAACGAGTTTGTATTTTTTTTTCTCTTCACATGTTTGAATTATTTTAGGGATTGGTTTTATAAAGTAGAAATAATTTAAACTAATTATTTGATTTATATTTAATTATATTTTATTAATTTTAATATCGTACAGAATGTTTTTTTTTTTTTTTTACATTTCTTTTAAATTTGGATCTGATTTGTATGAGATATAAGATTTAATTTATATAAAACAATATATAAAACGTAATAGATTTTTCTTTATTAGTTGTCGTATGTTTATAATCCATTGGATGTCTTAGAATTTTCTTCCGGATGTCAGGAAACTCTTGAAGGTATTCAGATGTAATGGAAATTGAATATTTTTTCGAATCTCTTCCAATAGCATGAAGTTTATCTGTAACAAGAATATGCAATATACATAAAGTAAATAAAAATATTTAATATATATATATATAAAAGAAGAGTAGTTTTTTTTGTATGTATAGGAGGACTGAAAAGTTTTGAGTCTAGCATGTAAACGGGTGTGTCATTCAATTTCCGATTGAATGAGAAGTTACATGTTATGCTAACAGGTGTTAAGAATGATTGCAAGGTTTGCTTTGAATGAATAAAACCTGTCCAAAGACACCAAACCACATATTAACTGTTTAATCCCTTGACATACAAATAAAATGGGTGGCGTTTAATTTTGAAATTTAATTAAATACATTGCTTTATAAAATTCAAATAAGGTTCATAATTAACACTATGTCGTCTGCAGATTTTAGACATGTTTCTTTTGTTTGACGCCAATATCAATATATAATATATTTATTTTATATAAATAACATATTACAAAAACTATATAAAGATAATATATATATAATATATATCTATTATTTAATATTTACTATAATCTAGTAAATAATATTTACTATACAGTATTGTAGGTAAATATATTATACAAATATATAATAGTAAATAATATTTTATTGGTAAATCAATCTTTGGTAAATATATAGTTATATTTTTGATAAATATATTACATAATATTAAAAATATAATATACTATATTATTTAGTAAAGTAACATAAAAAAAATATTAACTCTTACAATATTGTGCAATTTTATCACTAAGAAAGAAGGAAGAAATTTTGCGAGACGACCACCTAATACGAACAAAAAAAAACTAGGAAATGTTAGGTTAGGAAACGTTTCTGAATATTCGTTGATTTTTCCTGAGAGAAAAATTCTGAGATAGAAAGAAAGAGATATTATGTTGGTGGATGCTTGCAACTGATTCTTTTTGAAAAAAGAGAGAAAGAATGAGAGAGAGAGAGAGAGAGAAAGAGAGAGAGAGAGGGTGTGAGAGAGTAAAAAAAAAAAAAAGAGAAAAAGATGGTTGGTTGGTGGACGTAGTAGTAGTCTGGGCGTCTGCTAGCCGTATGTACTACACGCGTTGGGCTTTGTCGTGGAAAAAGGTTGAGTATAAAAAGCATGCGGTGACGCTTTTCTCTTTCTTCATCCCCCTCTTCATCTCTCTCTTTTTCTCCAATACTCTTCTCTTCTTTCTCTTCCTCTGGCTCCATTGGCGTGCAAAAATACGAAGGGGAAGGGTACACAAGTATACAGCAGCGTTTTGTTTCCTACCGAGTAAACCGTGTTGCGTTGGACCAAACTCATGGTTATATTCCATCCCCATATATATACATACACATACATCAAACAAATAT